GAGTTCCGCCCAACCTGCAAAGGTATTTCTGTACCTGATGTAATGCAATACTGGGGGTGTGGAAGTCAACAGCAGCCAGAGAAGGAATTCGAGATTCTGAAAGAATTTTGTTCTCTTTCTTTACTAGCTTGGGATTTCGAGCTAGAAGAAAATGTCCATAAACACAGTAAAAATATTAGACATTTTACTAATTTTTCACATCCTGTATCTACCCCTCAGTATGTACTTATATGTATATGTGTGTAGCTATTATACGTATGTAAACATCAGAGAGAGATATCTAGCTTCAACCTAGAAGTTGAAGAAAGTCTCTAAGCTTAGCTCTACCTGCATTAATTTTCATTAAGGAAAAACTCCAATGGGTCTTGTCCATACTAACCTTTACCTCCTTTCTTTTCCTTTTTTTTTTTTTTTTGAGACAGAGTCTCACTCTGTTGCCCAGGCTAGAGTGACATGGCTTCAGCCTAGCTCACAGCAACCTCAAACTCCTGGGCTCAAGCAATCCTCCTGCCTCAGCCTCCCGAGTAGCTGGGACTACAGGCATGTGCCACCATGCCTGGCTAATTTTTTTCTATATATTTTTAGTTGTCCGATTAATTTCTTTCTATTTTTGGTAGAGACGGGGTCTCGCTCTTGCTCAGGCCGGTTTTGAACTCCTGAGCTCAAACGATCCGCCCGCCTCGGCCTCCCAGAGTGCTAGGATTACAGGCGTGAGCCACCGTGCCCGGCCTGCCTCATAAATTCTTATTCATTATAAAGGGGCAAGAAGGCTGTCCTAATGAGAAGCCTCAGATACCGCCGTAAGTGATCAAAGTGAACATCATCAATATTGAGACAAAGTGAAATCCTATGCCACCTAAAAGGATGCAATGAAAAGAATATGGCATCACTTCTGTGCGTTTCCTGCCAGAGATGCTGCTCTGACTCTATCATAGTTACGCAGAAACATCGAACAAACCCAAACTGAGGAGCATGCTATAAAATAACTGGCCTGTGATCACCATCAAAGACATGGAGAGACAGAAGAACTGTTCCAGACCACAGGAGACTTAAAACACAGGACAGCTAAATGCAACATGTGATTCTAAACTGGATCCTTTAAATGGAAAGGCATTATTGGGATAACTGGCAAGACTGCCTGGGGAATGAGGGTTAGACCGTAATATTTTATCAGTGTCAATTTCTGATTTTGATGGTTCTATTATGTTATGTAAGAGACTGTCCTTGTTTGTAAAAAATACATAAAGTATTCACAATTGATGGGATATCAGGTTGGCTACTTACTCTCAAATGGTTTGAGGAAAATTAAATTCTTTGTACTGTTCTGCAATGTTTTTTGTAAGTTTCAGTCTGTTTCAAAATTTAAAAGCGTATCCCAAAAGAAAAAAATTGCAATCTCCAGGCCATACACCAAAAAAGTTGTCAGAATCTCTAGATGTGGGGTCCAGACAGCGGTTTTTAAATCTCCCCAAGTAATTCCACTCTGCCACCAAGATGAAGAACCATTGCTCTAATCGATCACCAAGTCATATTGATCCCATCCCTAAATAATTCTTGATCGTCCCACCATCCACTCTACACTACCCTAGTTTTGTGGTGGATCCAGTAATTACACTGATTCTAGCCAAACACTACTTTTGTTGTTTTAGTTGGTGTACCCCGAAACGTATTTATTGTTTCCAAATGCTTCTAGGACCTACCTCTAATGGGGAGAGTACTTACAGATATTGGTTTCATGAATGTGTAGCTATGAATGTGTATAAATTATATAACATGTATAAATGTGTAGGGGGTAAGGAGGTGGAGACAAATTCCATGGGTTATATAACACTTGATTACACAAATCTACCTTACAGATTGTTCCACAAGGTACATGATAGACTTTTATAAATATTAAATATTTCTGTGTTATGTAAAGAAGCAAAATGTAGTTCAACGTAATAATAAATACCATAAAGGAAGAGTGCAAGGCAGGTAACAGATGCTGCCAGAAGGCCCTTTGCTTTCAGTCTCCTGTTGTTTCTCTTTTCATTCACATTTTCCAACCTTACAGGGTTAGTGTTAATTTGTATGATTTGCTACACATATTTTCTCCTTTATTGTATTTTAAATATAACTGGAAATTGAACAAGTTGAGAGTGACAATGAATAACAAGTTTATAAATATAAAAAGATTAGAACAGTAAATAGTATTGAGTAGGTGTGCAGGAAGCCAAACCCTTTCTTCCACTGCATGAAACTGGATTTGGTTGTGTCAGCCTTGGAAAGTGTTTGAACAGTGCATTCACAAGGAGCAAGTGAAAACTTCCGCACCTTTACAGTCCACACGCAATTTAATTTTAGAAGTACAAGGAATGTATTGAGACTCTGTAGTTCCTCACTGTGGAATCTGTGACAGTATTAATCTGCACCTACAGGAGTTTGCTCAGTTTTGATTAAATGTTGCTATACAAATTGTTGGCAAGAAATAAGGCAAAGCAATAACAGCAATAAACCCTTTCCTCAGCATCTCTGGATAACTACCTCTGTAATTTATTGTCAACAATACTATTTCTCTTGTTTGTAGAACTCCACAGAACTATTAGAGTAGTAGCAGAAAAAGCATCAACATGAATAAGAAGGCAACATCCAGGAGCTCTTTATGAAATGGAAATGCTTTAATAATGAGAATGGAGAATTTAATCCCAAAACAAAAGTTGATTTACTTCAAGCAAAGGTGAGAAATCCGTTTGAGAAAGTAAAAGGATAGTGCAATGATCCATACCCCAAATTTGTGGCTAGTGACTGTTTGCTCAGGTGATTAAGAAGTTTGCCAGTTGGGCCGGGCGTGGTGGCTCA